CTGTAGTGTCCAGTCAGTGTGTCTGTACTGTATTAACCCCTCTCTCAGTGTAGTGTTAATGTCCTGTAGTATCCAGTCAGTTTATCTCAGGGTTTTCAGCACCAACACTAGCAGTTGTCATCCCTATGAACTTGGTGTACTCTACCTCTAGCTTTTCCTGTCTTCCTCTGTCTCTCTGCACACCCAAATCTCTCTATGTCCAGAAGATATTGGTGATGTCAGAGTCCAGGCTGTAGATCCACAACAAGAGTGGGGCGGACACCAGGACAAAAACCCAAGACACCCCTGTCAGAGCACGGGCTAGCGTGGCCATCCCCCACCACTGCCCCCCTGCCTCCCTCTGGTTCTCGTCCTCCTCGTTCGGGATGAGCTCCAGCCCCGGGTCAATGTAATTGCGGGCCAGGAACTTGAGGAGCTCGTCCAGCAGAATGACAGGAAGAGACATCTTGAGGACCGTCACCCACTGAGGCCAGGACAGCGGGTGGATCTGAAATATGATCTGCGAGCGCAAAAGAAGGAAAGGGAGACATGTGAGCACAGAGGTATGAAGACGGAGATGGATACGGGCACTAATATGCACTCTCGACAGTCCTCACTTAGAGATCAATACTGTCCTCAGTCAGAGATGGATAGAGTCAAGGGAAATGAATGACTGTCTAGAAGTGCCTTGACCCCCAGTGTTTCCAGCTGGTACGAGGGATTAGCTAGGTTAATGAGCGCCCGCGCTCTGTGTGGCTGGGGTGGGCAGGGGTGCACCCAGCTGTGTCCGACTCGATCGACGGCTCTGCACACCTGTCCTGCCTGTTAGCACACAAATCCCGTTGGAAATTCGTGCGCTCCTGCCAGTCGGACAGCCCCAGGGACTCGGGGGTGGAACGTGGGTCCCTACGGGGCGTGGGGACACAGGACATTCTGACTGCAGACAGAGGAGACAGGGAGAGGCTCACCGGCAGCGGGTCGACGTAGAGGATGAGGAAGTGGAGAGCCATGGACAGACAGATTGCTCCCACCAGCCACGGGTTCGACCAGGGCGGCATCTTCAACAGGGACTGGTTCTCTGACAGACTGTGTGAGAGAACAATGTTAATCAGTGACAGGGCATCAGAAACAGAAATGAAGCGATTACTTCATTCTGAGCACTTACATAGAGCTCCTCATCCCAGGGAACCCTAAAGCTCTCTACCTACAGGAGGAAACC